CCTACACATTTATCCAGGACAAATCAAGGGTGCATCTACGTATGAACACTTACAAATATCCAGACCACTTTTTTTTTCTTTTCTTTTCTTTTTTTGTCTTTTTGAGACCGGGGTTTCACTATGCGGTTCAGGCTGTTTCACTATGCAGTTCAGTTAAACTCACTTTGTAGTACAGGTTGGTCTCCAACTCACAGCAATCCTGCTGCCTCAGCCTCCTGATTGCTGGAATTATAGGCACGCCTGGCCAGACCGCTTCCAAGAGGAACTACTTATCTGTGTTACTTTTATGTTTTGTTTTTGTCTTTTTGACTTTTTGAGACAGGGTCTCGCTAGGCAGCTCTGGATGGCCTTGAGCTTACTTTGTAGTTCAGGCTGGTCTTGAACTCGTAATGATCCTCCTGCCTCAGCCTCCTGAATGGCTAGGATTACAGGCATGTGCCACCACGCCTGACCAAATCAGCTTCCAAGAGGAAATACTTATCTGCATGGCTTTTAATTGACAAATAAAAATGTGCATATTTATGACATGTGCTAGTCTTTTATACGATAAAAGAATGATATAGTGGAGTGGGTATGAACCACTAACAATGGCATGTCCTCATATATTTCTTTGTGGTATTATGTATTATGAAATACAGTTGCACAGTTGTTTATTAGTGTCTATAAGAGATTAGTTCCAGAACCATCCCCATCCCAACATACCAAACTCTGGATGGTAGGGCATACATGAGACAAGATTGTTGACATCTGTAGCAGGTAAATACTGAATATCAGTATTTTGGTTTTTTGTGTTTTGTTTTGTTTTTTTGGTCTTTTTTTGAGACTGGATCTCGCTATGCGGTTCAGGCTGACTTTGAGCTCACTTTGTAACCCAGATGGGTCTCGAACTTACAACGATCCTCATGCCTCAGCCTCGGAGCCCTGAAATCACAGGCGTGGGCCACCACGCCCGGCTGAATATCAGTATTTAACATACGATTCTATCACATAACCATTTCCACATAAAATGTGTACACAGCCTTCACTTAAAAATAAAGAATTTTTTAAAACCCCGGCACGTTCACCTAATGGAACACCATAGAACTCCTAAAAGAACACAGTGGGCCTGTGTGTATTGTGTTGAAAAGAGAAGTCAGATTAAGTAAAGAAGAAAGATGAAAAATAATATACACGCAGTGTGATGGAAAAATATGGCAAATGCTTAAATGTCTTTTTTTTTTTTTGAGACAGGGTCTCGCTGTGCAGTTCAGGCTGACCTTGAGCTCACTTTGTAGCCCAGGCTGGCCTCGAACTCATGAAGATACTCCTGCCTCAGCCTCCTGAGTGCTGGGATTACAGGCATGTGCCACCACTCGCGGCTTTTACTGTAATTTTTAGAAATTTAAATATTTAGCCGGGCATTGATTCAATAACCTTTCATGGTCATTTTGATTTTTAAGACAGTAAATATTCGATTTAAGGCCTGTATTTCTCACAAAGCATACAGGTTCTTTCACTAGGAATGATAAACAACTGCACTTTCTCGGGGGCTGCATCCTGAACAAAATTTAGTGTTACCCTGCTCTTTGGAGGAGCTT